GCTATTGTGCTAGGGATGGGGAAGGGAGATAGAAAATAAGTTGGCAGGTTTGCAAGAGTGCTTTTAATCAGGGTAACTCTTCCCCTTTTGAAAGGTATTTTGCCTTCCAGGAAGTGAGTTTCCTCTCAAGTCTTTCCAACACTGGCTCCCATATTGCTGTAGAAGAACACTTTGCACCCAACGGAAGGCCAAGATAGGTAGTTGGGAGCTTGATTACTTTACAACCCAGAAAAAATTCCCACTAGTGTTTCTAATTGAGCAAAAGAAGCGTCAATGAAACACAGTGTCATCAGCAAAGTGGAGCACATCGACCCTTTCACCCCTGGCTTAATTTCAAAGCCCTCCCAAAGACCAGCCTGTCCTGCCCGATTGATGAATTGGGTCAGGACTTCCATCACACAAAGGGAAAGAAGAGGTGACAAGGGGTCTCCTTGGCAAATGCCTTTTAAACTTTTGAAGAAACCAAATGAATTTCCATTAATTAAAACAGAAAATTTTGGTGAAGAAAAACATATCTTCATCCAGTTTCTCCATTTCTAGCTGAAGTTCATTTTTTCAAGAATGTAGTTTAGGCATCTACAATTAATGTGATCATTGGCTTTTTCAAGATCCACTTTGCATAGAATTCTTGGTTTCCCCAGTGTTTTAAAAGCGCAAGGCGCTGAGGCCAATTTGCACTCGAGGTGCAAGGCGCTGAGGTCAATTTGCACCCGAGGCGCAAGGCAAGGTGCACGCCTTTTTGAAGCAAGGCACAAAAATACAAAAAAAAAGTCAGAAAATTCAAAGAAAGGCCAAAAATGATAAAATATTAAACATAATATTAGTAAAAGAAGAAGAAGAAGAAGAAGAAGAAGCTGATTTGGGAGAATTGACGTCATCTTCAGGCAGATCACCAAAAGCTTAACCTTGGGTGGTCGACCTCTTTGGGTGCCTAACCTTGGCACTCCTAGACCAACATCCCTTGCGGGGCGGCCTTGGTTAATGGCTAGCATGGCTACTAGGGTTCCTCATGGGCGCACACATGCTCATGGGGACAGTGCATGGACCGGCATTGCGCCACTGACACTTAAGGGAGGCTTGGTATGCGGGCCTGGCCTAAGCATGACCCTTCACCACGCCAGCCCCTTGCCTAAGCTAAATGAGCTATCCTGTTTACCCTAGCGCACGGGTGTGTTCCGGCTCAGTGGTTGCCTATCATCAACAGTACATTGGGTGCCCACATCATCGGCATACAGGAGTACCTTCAGATCGGCGCCAAGTCGCTTCTCATCATGCCCATCCCCCTTTAGCACGTAAGTGGTGCCTCCCATGGACCGGCAAGAGTTAGCAGAGTGCCCTGGCCATGAGCCTTGAGGTCATGATCCAGTGCTACTGACCTTGGTGGAGCCATCTTATCGAGCAACTCCTAGCCCCAAGCACACATAAGGCTTGTCCTGGCCTACTTTGGCTTGGACGCCGCATGGGTTTCTTCCGCTACAGAGCTACCCTTGTGACACTGAGGCATATGCCAGAGGCACTGACAGCTCTGAAGCGTACACCTCATACACTTTTTTCATGAGGCGTGCTAGGTGTCTGCCTCGTGCGCCTCATGCACACCTCATGTAAAAAGATAGAAAAAAAGAAAAAAGAAAGAAAAAAAAAGAAAAAAAAGGAAAGGAAAAGAAAGAAAGAGAAGAAAAATAAAGAAAAGGGAAGGGAAGGGAAGGGAAGGGAAGGGAACACCTTCTTCCTCCTCATCCCCCCTCTTCTTAAGGAGGCACCTCCTTGTGTTTGGGAGGCTTACACCTCTTATGTTCTGAACTATGCCTCACGCCTCTAAGTAGTGGAACACCTTGCATCATGCCTCTGTGTTTTAAAACATTAATTTAAACTCAGAAAATGTAAATGGTTGTAATTGATCTCCCAAATAATCTATTACACAAAAAAGTAATATTTAACTTCATGTTTGAACTAAATATTGAGCTAGCTCGAGGTAGTAATCATGTAAGTTAGGCAGGCAATAACATTGTTACTCCACATATCTACAATATTGTCACCAACTTATTTTATAATGCTATCATTTTTATCAGCAACATGGAAAAGATTTCATTAAAATTAGATAAAAGAGGTATAACAAGAAGTTGTGACAAGATATAACAGACTCAAGAGGACAAATTTAACCCAGAAAACTACAAATGAGCCCACTACATAGACTGTCTCTAAACCCCTTGCTTAGCTAGCCCATCTGCAAAATGGTTTGTAGATCTTCTGATCCAATTGACTTGAATCATCATTTCGTTAGATACCTTCTATAATCGTCCCATAAATTCCAAGTTACTCCTCCATTCTTCAGCCAACTCACAATTGTTCTCGAGTCCCCTTCTATAATTAGTCTTTTAATACCCAATTCTTTTGCTTTCTCCACCCCATAGATTGTTGCCAAAAAATTCTCATCTGAGTATATCACCTTGCCCAATTCAATTGGACCTGAGTAGAATGAGAGTATAATTCCTTTCTCATCCCTAATTATTCTACCAGCGCCTGATCCATATTTCATCCAAATTGATCCCTATTTCCTCCAGTTCTTGAATCCTAGACATTAAGTTCACCTTTCTTCTATTCATTCAAAATGATCCCTATTTCATCCAATTCTTCAATCCTAGACATTAAGTTCACCTTTCACTCTAGGTAATGCTCTTACAACCATAATTTATCAAAAAAAAAAGCTCTTACAACCATAGCCTCCCAAGGTTTTTCCTAGTCCACATTAAAGAGGAATTTATCCAATTTTGAGCACAATGGGTTTTCTTGAAAATTGGACTATGTAAACCCAGCTTGCGGTAGGTCTTCAACTCATATGAATTTATAACATCATTAAACTTCCTCATGCTAGTTGAATTCTATTGGTGGGAGTTACTAGTTTAATCAGAAAACCTAATCACATCAAGTCTCCTCCCAACTGTCAAGCACCATACCACAAACCTCTTATTTCAAACAATTCCTCCCACATCTTATTCCTCTCTCTATAAAATAATGGGTTTGTACACATTGGTTAATACCCAATGAAATGTTACTCAGAGTGTCAAACGCATGATTGGTGCCTCAGGGGAACCAGGAGTGGCTGTATCTGAGTATCATACCGACACGTGTTGCTCTCTAAGAAGACCCTTAATTGTGCTCTAACTACCTTGTGGCCCTCAAAGACACATTTTCCAAAATTACCTAGACTAATGAATATTCTGGAATTCATGCTCCATGCTCCATGCTCATAACCTTGTTCCCTCATTTCTATAAATAGGGAAACCCTAATCTGTGAAGGGGATTTGGATCCTAGCCCATTTGAGTCCTATCTCCCAGAACATCTTCCTTCCCCGCTTCCAAAGTTTTAAGTCCATCCTTATCCCTGTTGGCATACAGGAGGAAGGTGTAATTAATTCTCTCCAAAGTTTTCTTATTTCTAAAAATTTTAGACATTCCAAAAATGCTCCCCCCCATTTCATCCCAAAATATACAAAAACTAAAAATATATCAGATCTTGGAGCTTTAAGTCTACCCATCGAATTCAACACTGATTTCTTGTCCTCAATTACTGCAGGTTCAAACAAATGAGAAGTAGGATCAAACCTACCATTTCTTTCAGAACTAAATAGGTCAAAATAATTAACATGATTATTGTCAACATTGTCATGTTCATGATCTAATTGCCATCCAAATTATTTATCCAAACAATATTGTTCCTTTTCCTTCTGATCTATGTAGATTAAGTAAAATACTTAGTATTCATGTTTCCTTGTTGCAACCATAGCTGCTTAGATTTGTCTCCAGAGTTGTTCTTGCTGTTGATCATTCCACTCTTGCCATGAATACCTTTCCATCTCAACAATCATTTGGTTAATCCTATCCAATTTCCTAATATCCCCAAACTGAGTAATTCCCCAATTTAAGCATTTTATAAGAGTCTAATTTAACTTCAATTCTATACTCTACATACCCACTAATATTCAACTTCCATCCTTGTTTGATGATGTTAATATGCTCCTCATCCATAAAAATAATTAAAAAAAAAAGAAAGAGATTTTAATACACTCCTCATGCCACATAAAAAAAAAAGAACTAAATGGTTTTGGGTGAAAAACTGTCCTAGGATATAAATTTAATAAAACAAGCTTATGATCCAATCCCCATTTAGGACAGGCAAAATCAACCATGTTTGGAAATATCTCCAAAATTTCCATAAAATCAGAAACTCTATTTAATTTTTTTACACACAAAGTTAAAATCTTTCATACCATTTGACCAAGTAAAATTACCACTAACCATATCATTTTCAAACAAGTTAAACTGATTAAAAAAATTAGAAATTGAAAATTCATACCATTTGACCAAGTAAAATTACCACCTAACCATATCAATTTCAATCAGGTTAAACTGATTAAGAAAATTAGAAAATGCAAATTTGCTATTTTTGCTATCCAACTTCATTTTATCAACAAGCATACCATCATCATCATCATCATTAGGAAAGAGAAAATTAGACAAATTAAATCGCCCAAAAAAAGACAAAGCAAATTTATTAACAAAATAAGGCCATTACTAAATGTTAGTCCCAGGCATCTAGGGTCTTGGTTGGGGTGGTGGTGCAGAGCATCAAGACAAACTGTTGAAGTGTGTTTTGGTTCATCATTTTTTCAATGATTCCTGAGTGTTCTGGTGGTTCAGGCAACATCAATTATCGGAGTATGTTTTCTTATGTTTATATACCTTATTTGTAGTCATGTAAGACACAGATTTAGCGTTTAGGATTCATTTGAGTTTCTCTAGCATATTCAAAGCATATCCTGATACCTCTCTTAGAATTGTGTTACCCTGCAAAGAATTGAAGCTTGGAGGCCAATCTCAACTTTATTCTATACATACATAAGAAGGTACTTGCATGTATGTACTTGTCAAAAAGAAAAAAGAGAACTTGTATGTATGCAAGTTTATTTACCCTTCCCTTTGATTGCTTTTCTATTTTTCAGGTGGTGGAAATAAGAATAAGAGGCCGAGTTGTATATTTTCTCAGTGGTGATGGAAAATGGTCATCAAATTAATCGAGTTCATTAGTGGTGGAGATTTACCATTCAAACAATCCTTTAGGCTAAATAGATGAATTCAGTTTCATGCAGGTATGTTCAGTTTACAAACAAATAAACTGGAGGTTCAGTTTATAATGAAGAATATTTTATCAGATCAAAACAAGGAGGTTCCGATAATGAAGATAGTAGTTTTTCAACTGTATAGTGCTGATTCTTGGGAAAATCCATATTGTAAATGAAACCTCATGAACTGATTGTTTTCCATTTTGATCGGATTTTGACTTTTTAACTGAACCAAGTGATCCTTTGACTGGATTTTACATCCGTTTACAAGTTTAAAGAAGGTGAGATGTGGAATATTTTCAAGGACTTGAAAATCACTTGTCTTGTGGATTCTGGCGGACTGGAGGGGGGTGGGGGGGAGGTATAACATCTTAATATCCTCATATTTTCAAGCAAATTGCCCTTGGCCAATGATTAGGGCTGTCAATGGGTCAGGTCTGCTTGGCATGTTATGTTGGTTTTGGCTCTGAGGTTTTGTCCCAATTAGTAATTGGGTTGGGACTGGTTCTTGTTGTTGCGATTCTGACCTGAACCAATTATATAGTTAATCATATGCAAAGGCCTCTGGTTTTATTGTAAGTTTTATTATTATTTGTTCAAAAAGGGTAACTTTCATTTTTATTAAGTTTATATTATCAAAGATAAAGTTTTAAATTTTTATTATCATAGGTAACTACAGAATGACCACCCCATACTAATTATGGTGCCAGTATTTCGTTCAATTTTGTTTGACATCCATCAATTTAGGTTAGTTTTTTATTTGATATTTTCTTGATTTATGGATTTGCTATTAATTTAAGAGATTAAATCAGATTTTATTTGTGTACAATAACCCACTATAGAAGATACATCATTTGAAATGTTTTTTTCTTTTTCTTTTTCTTTTTATTTTATTTAAATCAGATTTTATTTGAGACTTGAGAGTGGAAAAAACCCACTCTCGTGATACTCTTTTCTTTGAAAAAAAAAGATGCCATTTGTCTAAAGGAGAGGCCCTGTAGTCAGAAGTAACCACACACACTAGACAATGACCACCCGGTACTAAGGATGGTGCCAATATTTTGATAAATTTTGTGACACCCATTATTTATGTTGTAAAGTTAGGTGTTAGTACAAAATCTATTATAATGGAGTTAAATTGTAATGGGTCGGGTTTACCCTCGTTTTGACTACCAATGGGTTAGAAAGCCCACCTTGTTCCCGTATGGTAAAATAACCACAAGAATTGGCACCATCAAGTCATCAACACCAAACATAAACACGGTGCTACAGTTGTGTTGTGATTGTTGGTATCGTTGACTAAACTCAAGGCATGGTACAAATTGGCAACAAGTTTTAAAATTAATACAGCCGGAAATAACATCTAGTTGCAGATATATGGTCCGTTTGGTTCGTGGTTAGAATTGGAATCGGAATTGAAATCCTTCACAATTGGAATGCTATATTCTCATAGTCTGTTTGGTTCATAAGGTTTTAAAAATCAGCTTGGAACCAGAACCTTTCTGGCCATTGGTTTTTGGGTTGATGGTTCAACCATCTGGTTTGAATGGCCTAATCTAATGAAAAATAAAAAATTAAAATAAAGACGGCCAAAACTGTTGAACGAGTCGAATGGGTCGACAGTTTGACTGCCTAGGTCAGCAGGTCGTTGACCAATTCAACGGGATTTTTTTGCTAGGGACCGGGTTTTGGGTAAAGCAGAACTGGTTGCCTAGACGGTTCTCTGGCTGAATGGTCCGACCATTGGGATCAATGGCTGTTCAAAAACATTGTTGGTTCAGACAAGAATGGGACTTGGAATCAGTAGGAATGGGATTTTATTCCCAAGCTAGGGGCAGGAAATGACTATTCTCTCAAATGGGGGAATGCCATACTAACAGGAATAAGAATGAGATTCCGATTCTACTCAACCAAACAGTTGGAATCAGAATAGCCCATTCTGATTTTAGACCCTTATTCCCGTGAATCAGATGGGGTCTTAGTGTTATTTTTTTGGCACTCTAGAGAATGACATCTAGATTGAGATTAAACAAAATTTGTCTTAATAAATTTCCCGAGGATTAGGAATAAACTGCTAAATTGCGCATGTTTCCAATCCAAAAATTGATTTAAATGCCCAAACATCTGATTTTAACAAACGTAATGACAAATCGATCTTTCAAAGTAAATATTGATTATTGACAAATAGTCTTTGAGCAACAATGGCCTCTAGTCCTTAAAAGCAAATATGGGATTTGGTAGTTGGCACAAATCATCGTTGGTAGCCAAGATAACATGTTTTACACTTTTTTTTTTTTGATATTCGGTGCCATGTAAGGATTAAAATATTGGTATCGGATATTTAGATACGGATACAGATACAGATATATTTAGAAAGCGCATGGATACATTGAGAAAATGCACACAAATTTCATAAATATATTAATAATATTAAGTTTAATGTCAAAACAACTATAAATAATATATAAATACATAGGAATTGCATATTTAAATTATATATATACATATGAAGAAATATATTATAATTAATATAGCAGGACATGTAGATATTATACAATTTTATTAATAATGCATCAATCAAGAGTCCAAGGCAAATATTATATAGATTTTTAGAAATTAATATATGTAAAAAGCCAATATTATTTTATTATCTATTAAAGTGTAAAACATAAAGCATATGCAACTTTTGTATTTGAATCATTATATCATTTTTTCTATTTTTCTATTTTTTTTATTTTTAATATTAACAAAAAAAAATCATCTAAAAAATTAAATTTTAAATGTTTGCTAAGTAATATTTATATTTTTGTAAACAATAAATATGTTATTATAAAATGTAAATTAAAATATCAATTAATAACTTATAAAAATATATAATCTTAACTTAAATATATCAAATCTAATAAAATTTTGAAAATGCATACCATATGAAAATTCATAAATTTTAATTACTAAAATAATTATTCCATTATTAATATTTTATTTTATAAAAGTTTGAATTAAAAAATTATTTTTATGTAAAATGTAGATTAATGGATTTGATAGATTCAATTTATATTATATTTTCAAATACTCTATAATTAATACTTTTATTTTTGTAAATAATAAGTACATTGTTATTTAATGTAAATTAAAATATTAATTAATAATTTATAAAAATTTAAGATATATACCATATGCAAATTTATAAAATTTAAGTATTAAAATAATTATTCTATTATGAATATTTTATTTATATAGTTTTTTGAAATTAAAATTCATTTTTGATATATATATGTAGATTTTATAAATTATTTATTTCATTGATTTATAAAATACTAATTTTGAATATTATTCTTTTTAATTTATCGTTAAGGTTTTTGAAAATAAATCTATATTATTTTTATTTGTATATAAATATTAAGTTTAATAAAAATTATTTGTATATAAATGGCTTTCTGGTTAATGTATTTGTGGTTAATGTATATGCGTGTCTGGGCTTGATCAACTTGGGATCATGGGCTATCGATATTTCAATCGTTGATGGCATGAGCGACTTAAAACTTTAATATGTCAAAATAGAATCGATGGAGGATACCATGGGATTGTAGTGCGGTCGTCGGTGCTGCCGGAGGAATCGTAGTTCTTCCTGCTGAGAATCCCACAGATGATAGCAGATGACAGTGGCTACGGAGAGAGGGATACAGATAGAAACAAAGTTGCACAGGGAGGTAGACAGGAAAGAGAAGAAAGGAGAGCTAGCTGGCTCGCTTAGAGATAGAGAGGAGCCGAGGATAAATGAGCTTTTTTTCACGCCTTTGCTTTACTGTTTGTTCCATGCAATGTGAGGTACAATTAATTGGTTTTCTTGATTTCTGGTAAACTATTAAAAGAGTTGTCAAGCGAGTGTTGTAATTGCAAGCGTAACGGTGGAATAAGCTCGCCGGAAGAAATCATTTTGTGACGGACATGAAATAATATTAGGGATATCCCTGCAAATGCCAAACCACCGTGGTGACCACAATCGAGATTTCTATTTTTAATTTATTACTCTTCGAAGCCATGCTGTGACGCTGGTCTTACTCTCTAGCCTAAGCACTGCGCAAAGTTCTGGAAACGATGTATATCAGCATAAACCCCTCCATCCCAATTCCTAGCGGCCAACTTCTCACCCATGCGCAGCGCCGCCTCCAGATCTTCTAGTGATGTTTGACGCCGATGAGTTACAGGCTTGCTGCCGATTGATCAGGCTACACTACTTCGGGTTCGGGCCTTTGTCCCATGCTACTATGCTGCTTACTTCGAAACGTTTGATGTTTCTGTTTCCTATTTCCTGCACTCTCATTTCTGCACATTTCCTGATTTTCTGATCAGACCATGGGAATTCATAGATAAAAAACTACATATCTCTGTTTGACGCCAGGTGTCTCATTGAACTAGGATCACCTATCCATTCAATATCAGCTATCCATAATTGAGTAACTTGATAATAAAGAGGATGAAAATCAGAAGAGATGTCAAGATACCTCAAGCTAGAGAGATTACCCAATCTAGGAATTTTACCTCCAAACCCTGTATTTGAAGGCAATCCTACAAACCCAATCTGATCAAAATTACCAAGTGTCGCCAGAATATTAAGGATAAGTGAGTTGTAGGCCTAGTTTATGATGTTGAGAGAAGCACAGGTTTTCAAAGCTTCATTGAATAATATTTCAAGTTTTCAACTACCAAAATTACATTTATGTTTTTTCACATTTCATTCAACTGTTGGTATTAAATTAGTACGTTTTAGAAGTTTAGGTACTAAATTAATATATTTTAAAGTTCGGGGACCAAAATGATTCTAATTATAAAATACAGGGTACTGTTTTAGAATTTTTCCAAGAACAATCCCTATCTTCAACCGCAACAACTCATCAACAGTAAACTGACTGTGCACAAGAGAGCTGAAGTCTTGGGACTGACAGTAGTAGAGTCAAAATTCAACATGGCGTTCTCCTTGGGAGCGTTCTCGGCTACAATCGTCTGCAAGAGCAATTACTCACTTGAAGCCGGGCACATCCGTCGGGCGGCAGAGATCGCCGATAAATCTGCTGGGTTCACGTCGCCGCATCCGAACTTCGGGTGCGTGATTGCCGTTGGCAGCAAGGTCGTGGGCGAGGGTTTTCTGTACGCGCAAGGGACTAAGTGTGCTGAGTTGCAGGCGGTGGAGTCGGCTGGGGAACTGTGTAGAGGTGCCACTGCTTATCTCAATATGGAGCCTGGGGACTGCCACGGTGACCACACTTCGGTTTCTTCTCTAATTCAGGTTCTCTTCGACGCCATTTCCATTTCTTTCTTGTTCTTGTTGTTATTAATAGTTCATTTTCAGTCGAATTTGTGAGATGGGGATATTGAAATGTATTGACAAAAACATAAAGTCCTTCCGGTATCATGCCTTTCCGGCAGCATGGATTTTTCCAAAGATAGAACTTTCTTTGAATTGACTGCAAATATGTCAATTTGATGCTTTTAATTGACAACTGGAAGTTTATTTTATTTTATTTTTTGCTTCTATTGTCGTTATTTTCTTTCTGGAGTTCCAAGCTCGCTCCTTTACCAGGCCAGGATTCCCAGGCTTTTGACATTTTCATGCTGTGAATGTGTTTTCTTGAGCTGGTTATCATTGTTGCTTTACGCCTATTTTCAGGAAGTAACAATCTTAGCTTGAACATCAACTTAGGATGACACTAATGTGCTTGAGATCTGCACAAGCAGAAGAATGTATCGGAAAAATTTGGAAATGTGACCAGTGGATTGGCTGACCACTGTGTGCAAGTGTAGTCTCCAAAATCCCAAGGGTCCACAGACTCGGGAAATTGGAATTGCACTCTAGTTTGTATTCCCTTTGCACTAAGCAGGCAAACCCAACAAACCATTTCTTTCTTTCTTCTTTTTTTTTTTTTTTTTTTTTTTTAAGTCTTGTTTTTGAATCAGGTGTTTTTAGACCATATTGTATCTTCATATGTTTCCTTATGCTCTATGTTAAGCCTTTCTAAGTATGTAGACAGTAGGCCAATGCTGCTGTTTTGGTTTCTTTAAATCTGCAGCAAGTTATTATTGAAAAACAACAATGATTACTCTTCTCCTTACAGGATTAAACTGTGAACTTTATTGGTCTGAAAAATGTCTTTGAGTTTTTTTTTTTCTCCTCTTCTGGAAGAATTTTTCCAGGCTTTGAATGTATTAGTCTGTTCCTATCGTTCTAAAAAGATGTGTTAACCTGTTCCTTCTTCCACTACATCTTTTAATCATGCTAATTGCTGTTGGATTTCAAAGCTTCTTTTCTATAGTTTCTCAACTTTCAGTTTCATTTTGAGCTGTGATTTTCTGGATTGGACTGCAGGAAATTTTAGTTGTTGTTCCTAATCTTCCTCCATATTTTTAGTAAACTTGATCAGTTTGCATCTTATATGATCCTTCTGATAAAAGGAATTAAAGGAATTTGGGCTTGTCAACAGAATTGCAGTAATTATGGGACATTTTGTTCAGTTTGCATATTCCTCCACATTCTTCTCTCTCTCTCTCTCTCTCTCTCTCCCCCTTTTCTTTCTCTAAGCTCCTTTAATCTCTTTATTGTTTTGGTTGTAGGTAACAAGATGGGTCATAACTAATTTTCAGTAAGGTTTATATTCTTATGTTACGGTTTCAGATATCATAGACCACTTATGTTCTGTAAATTAGGCAGGAATATCAAGAGTTGTTGTCGGTATCAAACATCCTTTGCAACATTTTCGGGGCAGAGCAGTACGTTCATTAAGAAGTGAAAGGGTGCAAGTTGATGTTCTTGGAGAGGATTTGCAAAGTAAATTAATTGAGGTGGTAGAATTTCTATGTTGCATATCTTAAACACTCTTATAATTCTGCCAGGTTATTTGTATCTTTTTGCATGATTCATTTTTGAATCTCTCTCTCTCTCCTTTTTGGTCTCTTTTTCACTGTAAGTTTCAATTTTATAACTCAAGTTGGCACCATATGACACATTTAATGATCACAGAAAAGGGCACCATATGATAGTGAAGAGGATTACTTTGTTATGCACCATATTATATCTTTCAATTATTGTACTGGAATTTATATTAATCTTCTCAATTTGGAACAGTGATAAGTGATCAGCCATAGGCTGGATATTCAAAGTTGTGATATTTCATTTGTCACGATTCTTTGAGGACTGAGATATCTAAACTTGGGAAAGATTATTTTATAAGTCATTGAACATTTTGGTAAGATATTGAACTTGAAATGAATAATTAGGACAAATTTTGGTTTTGAACCAAATTGAAACATGGTCCAAAATTGATACTAATTAATATGGATTGGAAGAAGCAACTGTACTTTCAATCTAGTTTTGAACCAAGAGGATTTGGTGCTGAGGAGGTTGATGAGCATGGTGATGTAGGAAAGGAAGGGGATGAAAGCGGAAAGGCAGTGGAAGTGGTGAACCAGATCCAGATAATAACTGGTTTTCATACAATGCCAAACTGAAAATTCTGTTACTATGCTGAAATAGTTCATGTGGATGCGGAGAAACATTTTCTCAGTGTACAGATTTACATGGAGATTGGACCAATGTGTTTCAGACCCAAAACTTAGTAAGATAAGTGTCTTACATGATGGAGAATCCCATCACAATCATAGTAGGTCATTACAATGTTCACACCCAAACTTCCACTTCTCTCATGAACCCAGCAAGTGGTGCAACCTTGTATCCTTATTTGGTTTTAGTTCTCTAAATTTTTGGGTCAGTTGAGCAACTCTCCAACAAGGATTCTGGAAACTTTTACTGAAGATCAAATCTCCTCAATGCAGGAAATAGGCTGGTTCAAGAAAGCTTCAAACAATTTGAGCAGTGAATAATGGAGCACTGAATTCAATTCAATCTAATTGAAACACTTTATGGCTCAACTGTTGTGGGTATGATGTCATGTCCGAACCATCGTGATTAGGGTTGAATTAGGGCTACTTCTAGTAGTCTTTCAACTCTAATTCAGTCCTAATATAAGTGGGAGAGGGCTGGAGGCAACCCCGTCCTAGTTCATCTAGGATTCTTCTGCATGCAGAAGAGTCCTACTTGAACTAGGACCCTCCTAATGTAATTCGAACCAGCAATGAATTCCTAATTATATCAAAGAACTGAGAATAGGAGTATGTAAGGTGTGGGATCCATTGAAATCCAGATTGAACCAATAAGTGGGGCCTGCTTTCTCTTGGATCACTGTCCTAGTGGAGGTAGGAAACTGCTAATTTGAATTGGGCTCCTTCTCAAGGAGAATCCAGCCTAGTAGTTGGGCCTACAATAAGCCCAACCCAAATGGCTTTAAGTTATTGACCTTTGCCACCCTAAACTTTTCCAGTTGGTCCAACTTGAAATGTATCCATCAGTTTATTGGGCCTAAACATATACTTTCAATGGAATTTGGGAAAGACTTATACCTCTTAGAGACAACACCGATGTCATATCCTCTGCCATGATGGAACCCTGGGAAATACATTTTGCAAACCCATTCTGAAAACAAACTATTTATTTAATATAATATTAATTTGTAAAAACTAATTCCAAAACCATTTTGAAATCCACTGTTGATAGTTTTAGGAATCCATTAGAGAAGACATTACCAGGGTATGTATTCTCTCAGTCTGGTAGAGTGAAAGATCCTATCACAATGATCACTTAACCTAATCTCATTTTGATCTGCTGCAACATACTTAGGTATCAACCCTAGATAGGGCATCACACATCAAAAGCAGGCAAGTCCAACAAGGGCCTACAGCTTTCAGAAACGGTGGGCTGAGCAGGGCTTAGATCTGAAATAAGTGAAAAAGGAAATTGACTTCAGATGCAAGAAAGGTTGAGTGGTGGTTGAAGAAGGGATTTAGGGTGTGAAATGATTTAGATCTGAGAATAGAGATAAAAATAAGAAAAGGAACAAGTTTTAGACACATGAATAAGAGAAATAAGAGACATAGAAGAGTCAAGAAGAAGAAAGAATACACTCTTACCTGCAAGTAAGCTTCAAACAAACTTTTTCTATTATTTCTCTTTAAAATCCAATTATATTGAGTCACTTATCATCATCTTCATCTAAGTCTTGTTCCAACTATATGTAGTTGGCTACATAAATCCTGTTTTGCCGTTCCATTCTGTTCAATACCTTTTCCACTGTTAAATTATGGGCGCTTAAATCATTACATACTACTTCAACCTGTGTCCTTTTTGCTCTGCCCCTAGCTCTTGTAATCCATTTAACTTGTAGGAGATTACTTCTTACAGGTGCTGTAGATGGTCTTCTCTACTGACCATCTATAAACTCAGTATAAGGGGCTTGGGTCATCCTTTACAAACTCCAATATATACTTGACAACTATGTAGAGATGACTCCTAATTTTGCATTAGAAATTTAGAACTAATGCAAGCTTATATATAACTCATAAGGACACTCAAAATAATTCCGAATATCGAGCACTGGTTGTACTAAAATTAAACATTCCAAAGACAATTCTAAGATAGACGCAAAAATAGACAGACTCAATACCTTCACAAGCTCAAACTCTATAAATAAACAGCCATAACTTTCCTGTACATATTGGATTCAATAAGATCTAGGTAACTGAGGAAAATTGATTCAGTTGAAAAAGTTTTGACCCATTAAACTTGGGCTGCAAGAAAAGGGGTGAATCTTCAACTACAAGTTATAAAAAAATTCTATGATATGACTATTGAAACTTTGTTTATTAAACTATTTTGATCCTTTAAGATGACTATTTCTTAGCAAGGAGTTTGAAGTTAATGACCTAAGAAAGTTGAGATATTTCTTGGGCATAGAAGTGGCTGTGGCCAGGTCAAGGCATGACACTTTTAATCGTTAGAGGAAGTGCATTTTAGATCTTTTGAAGGAGATTGTGAAGTTGGGAGTTAACCTGGTTATACCCCTATTGATCCCAGTCACAGATTATCAGTTACAGATGGGAAACCTGTTGAGAATTAGTTTAATGTTTTAGCGCCTTGTTGGTAGATTGCTATAATTATGTATGATCCACCCAAGTATCTCCTATGCAGTTAGTGTCATTAGCTAGTACATGTACTCATCTATTCATTTAGCAGCTGCCAAAAAGAGTTCTTGCTTGCTTGAAGTATCATCTAGGCAGAGACATTCTTTTTAAGTTATGTGATGATGTGGCAATTCTGTTTTATTCTTTTTAGTTCACCTGTCCCATACTTAAGTAGGGGTATATTTGACCTTGTACCCTAATTATAATATAATAGAGGTTATGGTCACTAGGAGGGTTAATCTCTCTAGTTCGACAGCTTCTTCTTCTTCTTCTTCTCTCTCTCTCTCTCTCTCTCTCTCTCTCTCAGAAAAGAACTTGTCTGAACCACTAAAGCATGGTACCAGAGACTAGCCACCCCTTACACTAAGGCAATATAGAATGTGTTAGCCTTATCAGAATAAACTGCCCCCAATTTATTCACTGGCTAAGATTAGCTTACATAGTTTATTGATCATGATAGTCATTGCAATATCATAATTCTAAAATATTTATCTGGGTAAATTTCATACAAACATACCCAACCAACACGTGTAACTGAACCAAAACTGAATTCTTTTTCATAACAACTTGCAGTTTACAACATGCATTGGATCCTAAGGGCATACACTATCTAATACTATGATAATAGGTGGCTATTACCATTGCTCATAATCCAGTTCAACGTGATAGAACCAAGACTATTGAGGTGGACAGACACTTCATTAGAGAAAGGGTGACTTGAGGAGGAATATGTTCCTTATGTGAGCACTAATGAATGACTTGCAGATATCTTCACCAAAGGTGTTAACCGATTGAAGCTGAATCATTGTATAAGCAAGTTTGGCATAATTAATCTATATGCTCAGCTTGAGGGTGAGTGCTGACAGGTTGGCCATCCCTTATTGGGCCTTTTCTTTTCTTATTTTAAGTTGTGTTTATTGGGCTTTAGTTATACTGTTAAGTTATTTGGAAACAGCCTCTCTGTGTATCTGTAGGGGTGAGGTTGCGTACATCTATCCCTCCCCAAACCCCACATTGGCAGGAGCCTTGTGCAGTAGGCTGCCCTTTGAGGGTGGGCCTTGGCGCAACGGTTGGGTTGCTCCATTGTAACTTGGGTGATCAGGGTCCAAATCTTCTAAATGGCCTCTCTGTATATGTGGGGGTAAGGCTGCATACATCTGTCCCTCCCTAGACCCTGCATTGGTGGGACTCTTGTGCACTGGACTCCTTTTTTTAGTTATATTGTTAAGTTAGTGGGTTATGGTCTTGATACAGGCCTTTATTTTTCTTTTATTTTACTGCCACTTAAAAAGGGGAAAATCTTATCTCTAAATTTGTTGGTCGCTTTATATGAAGTAGGGGTCACTAAAACTCTTGCAATTGACAAATTTTCTCTCCACTCTCTCTTTTTTCTTCCCTATTCTACCTCTATATGAAGAGGTAGGGGTCGCTTTATATGAAGTAGGGGTCACTAAAACTCCTGGGCGACCAGGGTCCAAATCTCCTAAATGGCTTCTCTGAATGTGTGGGGGTAAGGCTGCGTATATCTGTCCCTCCCCAGACCCTGCATTGGCAGGACTCTTGTGCACTGGGCTCCCTTTTTTAGTTATATTGTTAAGTTAGTGGGTTATGGGCTTGATGCAGGCCTTTATTTTTCTTTTATTTTACTGCCACTTAAAAAGGGGAAACCTTATCTCTAAATTCGTTGGTCGCTTTATATGAAGTAGGGTTCACTAAAACTCCTGCGATTGACAAATTCCCTCTCCACTCTTTCTCCCTTTTCTTCCTTC